GATGCAGTGATTTGGGTTTCAGTTTGGGTTAAAGTGCCACCTGACCCGAAGATCCACGAGTTCTTCATTAACTATGAGATGTTCTCCACACAGTGCGGTGACTGCACCCAAAATGACTGTCATTAAGCCCTAATTACACAGTTTGGTACCTTTTCACTAAGACTTTCCCACCAGCTCCAACACCCCCACGTCCCTGGGGGGGGGGGGAGGTCCCTGGCTGTGCCACATTCCAGACTCCAAGGAAACACCAGGCACCACCAGCACCACGTCCGGGCAGATGGGCGGGTTAAGCCCAACCTTGAGCCTAAACCTGAGCCTCAAAACACAATTTTGACTCATCAAGCCCAACCCTGAGCCTCAAAACACAACCCCCACTCACCAGAGCGGTTCAGATGGTTCCATGCAACTCCCCCCCACACACACCAAAAAAAAAGCCAAACCTTCTGTCTGCTGTTCACAAAATCCTTTCCCCAACCAGCCACTTCTTCAGAGATATCTACCAGAGCTCAAACCCGTCAGCAAACACCAGCAGGTCTCCAAACCAAGCTGCTCTGCTTGATTTTTTGTTTCGAGTTTTTGGGGGATTTTTTTACATCATCCGGCACGTGGAGTGTTGACTTTCACCCCCCTGCAGGAGGTGGAGCAAAGGGCTCTGATGAGGGAAGGGGAGGAAAAAAGGCCAAAATCAGGAGGAATAATCTGCTGCACCCGACCTGGAACACAAAGTGCTGGTGGAACCAGCAGTTCTCTCGTGAGGCGCCAAAACTCGACTTGCCCTCCAGGGATTCCCACCTGGGCGAGCAGCAGGGGTCAGGCAGGAAAACCCCCATTTTTTCCTGGGATAGAGACCACAGGTTGCCTCGGGAGAGCCTAGATGTGAGGGTGCAGATGTTTCCAAAGGAACTGAACGGTGTTCAGAAGCACGTGGAGCAGTCTCCTCACCCCCCAGAGCTGTTCAAGTCTAGGCACTTGTGTGGGGTGGTACTCCAAGCAGGTTAAGACTGTGTAAAAACACCGAGTCCTTCCAGGGCAACATCCGTTTTTTTTTTTTCCAGTTATTTCTGAGCAACAGCAACCTTCAAACCATCCCAGCTTTTGCATTCCTGGACCGTGATGACTTAACAAAGCAAACAAACAAACAAACAAACAAGAAAAACAAACACACACACAGGAAAAA